TAACTAAAGAACTAAAGAAAAGGACCAAAGGCGCCGAAAAGACATATCAGAAAGGCCGTTAATCTTCTCCTTTCAAGTACCATAGATAAGAAATCTGCACCACATGTATAAGATCTATAAAAATGTTTCCATGCGACAACAACAACAACAACAACAACTTTAACGGTGCTCAGCATTTAACATTTTAGTTCAGCTAATAATAATAATTTAACAAAAATAAATAAATAAATGAATAAATAAATAAATAAATAGATAGATAGATAGATAAATAATTAAATAAAGAGTGTACTGGCTGCATGAGGTTGACATTTTTGATATATATCTTTAACTTGTCAGGACTAAAATGTCCGTTTTAAATCTTGCAAACATTTCTCAGCCCTTAACAAATATCACCATGGATGGCGATGCTAAAGATGTAGCAGTCGAGGTTGGTCATATTCTCACCACCATTTTTAACAGCATCACATATTGTCCTTTTGCTGTCGTTCTTAACGTGTCTTAACGTGATCATGGCTGTGAAAAGAAGACCAAGACTACAGAGTTACACCACCTTGCTCGCTTGCCTGGCGGTAACGGCTGCATTAAAACGAGCTTTATGTTCTACTTCCAACGCCTCCTTCACACAGACAGGTTATGGTCCCAGGACGTGGAGTTGTTATTTAACGCTGTTTTGCCGTGGACGGGGCCTAAATAAGCTTTTAACCTTACTAGGATAGAAAGGGTCGACATAAGGTTCTGGTTGAGTACAGATAGTGTATTATGCATCCATAAAGTATACAGCCCTCGGACGATCGACGAAAAAAGAAGTTCAAAACCTTTACCATTACCATTGCACAACATGTTCTAACAAATCGTCTAACAAATCAGAGCAAATCTATCTGGCGCCCTTTAAAAGCCAATTGGCGCGTCTCTTAACGTCCTTGGCCATCCATGCCTAATACACCCAAACTAAGTCTATTCGTCTGAGGTACTTGACGATTCGATTTGATTCACACGGAGTTGATCCGCACTACCGGAAGTCAAGACCCGCGAAATAAATAATAAATGAATCTTCGTCGTTCTCGATTCGTCGATATCTCTTCACAGAACACTTTTTGATCTAAAGGTCGGTTTCACGGTCAAGATTTGATAATCTCCATAAAATGCACTTTCTGTAAACTAATAACACATCTTTGGAAGATTTTCAAAACCACAAGTGCTTTCTTGTTAGAAACAGGTGCTGGTCGAACTCGCTAATGCATGCAAACCTAGATATGACACTACGAGAAAGAGAAGAACGCTCACTGAAAAGAGAAGTATAAAGAGACTGAGTAGACAATACATGTCATTTATTTTCCACAAAACAGAAACTAACTTTTCGTACGGCTTTACTAAAGTCAGTGCTTTGTGTATGTTGCCATACAGTGTGCTATTGCGTGTTGAGGAGATCAAAGTCCACTAGCTCCGCTCAGTGGTTACGTCCAGCCATAAAAGCAAGGAAACAACATTTCCACCCGTGGTGCTCGTTACGTTAAAACGACAATTCAAGTGACTATGTTTACATCTACTAGGGTACATTTCACACTACACGAACCTGCACGTAGTGAACATTGCTGATTAAGTTAAAACTTGCACTGAATTTTCCCCAGACTTCTATAAATAATACTTTACATGCCCTTGGTTAAATATAGTGAAAACACTAACTGAGAAAAATAAATAAATAACGATGAAATTTTAAATATAAAACGAGTAACGTTAAGCGAGTGTTATAGTAATAATAAATGATGGGCGACCATGGGTGCGATAATCCTTTGTACAGGCGTAAAAAAACATAAGACCATGAAATTGACTAAGTTGAATTGCATGTGCATGTTATAAGAGAGCTTCGTCAATTTAAAAATGCACTATTCCTGTATCGTTTAGAGAAAATAAGGGAAAAGAATCACAAAATGTACAGCAGATTGTTTTACTTTGGTATGGATAGGGGAGATATCGTGGGAATGAATTGAAAATACGCTTTTTATGAAGTATTCATTGGAACTAAGTAGGCCCAGAAACGTTTCTGTAATCTTGATCACTGCAAGAAAAGTCGAATTTCGGCATCAAACAAAGGGAGGAATTGTAAATAACATCCCGTGATCAGTTGTAAGATTCAGTCCTGGTATATTAATTGAAAATACTAGCTCTAGTGGCTAAATCTGCGATTTGAAATATTTAACTTCGTTAACTTTCAACTTTCTTGAATTTTTGCACGTTCCACGTTCCGATATCAGTCTTTTAGAAACAAAAACGCGGAAATATCACTACAAAAAGAGCGTTCAAGACAACAATACGATCAATTTTATGCTAAAGTTACTGAAGTTCCCGACGGAATTGATTTAGCTCTCTGCTAACAAATTGAAATGAACGACAGATGTGTGCCAAGAAGTCCACATACAATGTGCAACTAATAAATATTAATCTAATAATTATTCACTGGATTGAGCAGGCTGTACTGTTGATTTTGCCGTCATTGTCGGTTGATTTCTGTGCGTGAAGAATGATGTCCGCGGTTGCTTTGAACTTGTCGCCTTCACCACCATTTAAGATATCTTCAACTGCAGCGACCTGTTTTAAACAAAGATGACGTACTATCAAGCAAACGGGAGGTACACTTAAGGCAAAATCAAACTTATCATTAATTATAAGTCATCTGAAAATCTTCACCACTCTGTGTGTTTCTCACATTCAACGACACTTTCAAGGACATTCTGTAACTTGGTGGTGTTATCGACACATGGAAAAAAAAAGCCTCAAACAGGCCGGAGTCGTGGAAGTTCATTTTTAATGCATGTCTCTGTATTTTCTATGGCATGGTATAAAATAGTTATGTAACACTTTTTCGTGGTATACCGTGGAGCATCCCCCTTGTAACTTGTATTTTCTTGGTATACACACTCGCCTAAAGTCACATATGTATATTCCATATACCACTCGAAAGTGTTACATAACTAGTATGTATAATCAATTTATTATTATTTATATCATTCTCTTCAGCTCGTTTAGTGTAATTATTGTATTAGATCTGTATCTGGTCTTATGCATATGATTTAATAAGCATGCTCCACGTACCTCTATTGTCGAAATGCCTTTACTTTTAGCAATCTCCACTAACTCTCGCATCTTTTTCTGGGATAAAAATTAAACATGCAAACTAATTCAATTATAGCAAAATTCTCGAACTCAGTTACAATAAAGGAAATTTTTTCAACTGTTACATTCAGCTGCACATGGCATATTATCGAAGACAACTTAGCGAGTAACTGTGCACAGTTTCGGTTCTACTGCACTTACTGTTGAACAGATGAAACCATTTCCTCCGCAACTGTGAGTATCACTTTATTTTTATTGTTATTTGCAAGCCCAGTTTTCACTAACATAACCTCATTAGCATATCATTTGCATAATCTACACACCACCAACAACTTGTAACTTTCTATCGTAATTCACGAGTTAAAAGATAACAACAAACAAACAAACACTAAGACAGACAAACAAACAAAAACAAAAACAAAAAGACAAAAAAACAAAAACTGGGTCCTTGATTACTCACCAGTTTCTTTTCAGATCGATCACTTCTTTTCTGTGACTTGTTTAACTCCAATTTCATATTTTGACCTTCTTCCTTGGACTAAATAGAGAACAGATTTTCAAACTCAACGTTACCGATAAAACGCCATACACTTGTACTATGAATTAAGTCACGTCATTACACGAGATAGCAAAGAAAACTTTCAACTTTTCCTTTCCTCAAAACTAACCTCAACATTATTTAGTTTTAAGTCAAAGCAACAAGCAATGAATAGTCAGTGGTCCTTCAAGTACTGGAGCGTCAGCTGTGTGTTACAAATCCACGTGGTAGTGAAAGTCGAAGATCCCTGCCCAACATGTCGACCTCTCAGGTACTTACAGCATTTTTAATTACCAATTCTTACCATAACCTCGCCATTTGTCATTCCGCTGTCTTTTTGCCCCACAGATGCTTTTTTGGTGGCTGTTGCCCGGTTTATTTCTCCACCCGTTTCCTTGCGGCTTATCCTCCTTCCACTCTGTTTTCCCCAAACTTCAACAACAAGCGGCGAGTTCAATAAATAATCGACGAACTGAAAATGGTAAAACGGAAAAAAAATAAACTAAAAATTAAATAAATCTGAACATGACTGGAGACATCGAGTCTTCAAAGTTGAACTTTCAATTTGCTTTGGCTTATATTTTGTTTTTGCTTGTCTTTTGTTTATGTATTTCTTTCTTTCTTTTTTTTTAATTTTCGTAGCGATTTGTGAACACATTTTTGTTTTGTTTTCCATCTTTGACAGTCAAGTACCCATGGTTGAGATGATTGTCGCACCATGACAAATTGGAGCAGCATTTGGTTACCTGTTTCGTGACGGGATTGAATGTGAACTTCTTCTCGGACTCATAGGAAGGATTGATGGTTCCAGATACACTCTTTGTACAAGTGTATTCGTGATCCAGGTATAGTTTATATTTACAAAATGTTTCCCCCTGTAACAGGAGCAAAACGATATAATGTCAGAGTAAATAAGACTGGAAAGAATGAACACGTACGGTCGAAGAGATAACACTAAGTATTTGCTTGACAAAGGAATAATCCAAAGCATAACTTATGCTTATCACACATGCATGGATGATTGGCAAATGCCAGTAACAAGTAAACATAAAAACATCAATATCACGTTTTTTTACGGTTTCCAAACCTTCCTCAAATCGCTTATAGTCGAATCAAATGTTGCACTTGCGATTTCAGAACAAACACCACAATTCAGTGGAACCGTATGACAACGCTTGTTATTATAGCCGTCAAAGACGAAATCACGAGAGGATTATCCGCAAGGCACCACTCTCAGCTACCCCACACCACCTCATACTGAACCTGCTCGCGTACCTTTCCAAATATGGCTGGTAAACCTCTTGCGTAAGGAATTTTTAACTTAAAATATAGAGCTCTTCCAATCTGAAACAAACAAACAAACAAACAAACAAACAAATAAAAAACAAAATGTATGTATAAATATATATGTTAGCCATACAAGTAAAAGGACCAAAGGTCATCAATGAAACAAATAAGAAATTATGTGGATAACCAATCAAGCAAGTGCTCTCTCCCCCTCCCCCTCTAAAAGAAAAAATCAACAACGATAAAAAAAAACAACGATAAACAAACAAAAACAAACACAGCTTGACACTGCAACGAGCTTATCTTGTACAGAAAATGTATATGTTCCTCTGACACTTTCGGTGAAACATACGTACCAATTCCTTGGGTTCTTCAACGAAATCGTCTAGCTCCTCGGAGAAAGTTGCATCGCAGGGATAGGCCTCGATCTAGAAAGCATCATTGTTTTTAGTTATTACTTTTTTTCACTTAACAGAACAACAAACGCTAAAGCAGCACCCTTCGTAAACGGTTCGAATGGGGAAGCGTCACGCAACCAGGCAAACAACGGCAGGCCTGCAGGCTACTAGCCCTGAAGGTGCCCACAAAGGTGCTCTGGTATTTGCTTTCCTACGATAACAGAATACATGACAATGGGCCTTTTGCACGATCCGGTCACATGGTACAAAATCACACCTGCTGGGACGCAAGCTGCACAGTGGGACTTCCAAAACAAAGCAACTCGTACCAGTCCACCTTGACCGGCCTTTGTTTTGGAAGTCCCACTGTGTAACTTGCGTCCCAGCATGTGTGGTTTTGTGCCATGTGACCGAATCGTGCAAAGGGCCTATTTGTTTCCTTTTTTTTTTATATATATTTTTTCCTTTTTATCAACAAAACACAACAACAACAACAACAACAACAATGACACTCAAAAACGTCCATTTTCATTGGTTCATTTGTGATGGTAGGCAAATAAATAATTTTTCTCTTTGCAGTACCTATAAAGCCTTGAGAGTCGATTGTGATATGGCAACGCAGTACGCCATTGTATGCAATAGAAGATATAGTAAATAATGAATATGCTTACAGTCCGACATATCGCTAGTTACAGTCTCCCAAAAAGGACAGGAGCCAATGAATCAACAGATGAAATGAAAGCAACAACAACAACAACAAATGGGATAAGTAAAATAAGGAAGAAAATATGTAGGCGAAAAACAGCGAACCTGTTGACATTATTCTGTATTGTAAGACATCATTAATTATATCCTTCTGCTTGTGCTAGAAAAAAAAAAAATGCGAGGGGAAGTACGATATATCATCGTGTCGGCTTACCTGTAAATGTCCCTTATCGTCACCTTTGTGATCTGTAATTGTGAGACTCTCTTCAACTTCAATCTAAGAAACAAAACCTCTGTTAGATTCCAGAGACACAAGTACTGAAGCTCCTCTTTTCTTAAGTTGTTATGACCCTTTTGAACAAGATGTGTTATACAAGGTTTAGGTAGCAAGGAAGATTAGAAAATAGTCTGGATGAATTAACTGAACCACGGTTTCCTTAGAAAGGTTGTCAATTAAGCTATCGAGATGCCCAGCAGTACCTACCAAGTAAGCTAGACTTTGGAGTTAAACTTGGACTGAACCAATCTGAATTTCGGCATCATCTGGCTCCCAGAATGGATCTCTCTCCTGTGAATAAAAAAAAAAGTATCATAAAAAGTCACATAAAATGAGAAAAGTATGTTGACAGTTAGCCTGAGTTATAGATCTTTATCTTAGAAGTAACTACTAATGTACATTTGATGCAGGGATGGTTATGTTACGAGAAATATGCTTTAAAGCAAGTGCTGATANAATAGTCGATAATATATACGGTAGTAGTACCTACCAAGTAAGCTAGACTTTGGAGGTAAACTTGGACTGAACCAATCTGAATTTCGGCATCATCTGGCTCCCAGAATGGATCTCTCTCCTTTGATTAAAAAAAAAAAAAGTATCATAAAAAGTCCCAATAAAGGAGAAAAGTATGTTGACAATTAGCCTAAGTTATATATCTTTATCTTAGAAGTAAATACTAATGTACATTTGATGCAGGGATGGCTATGTTACGAGAAATATGCTTTAAAGCAAGTGCTGATAAATAACTGTCAAAAGCAAAATACCTCTAGAGGTTCTGGTGATCATGTCAATAAAGTTTCACAAACCTCTGGTAAATCCCAGTCTTCGTCTCCGTCGTAGTAGTTTTGGAACATTTCCTTCATTAAGTAGGTCCTATTGACGAATTTATTTCTGTCCCAGATCCACTCCGCGCCATCCACTGTGCTTTTCATCTTTACTTTCACCTACAGGCCAACAACAAAATAAACAAACAAACAAACAAAACAAAAACAAAAAAAACGCATTTATGACACACAAATAAGACATTCAACAATACTGATAATCATAACAATAATTCAACCATATAATAATAATTCAACCAATAATAATCATTCGACCATCCAATACTAACACCCTCACAAAGAATGAAGAAGGGTCAAACCTTCCCAGAGCAAAAGAGTGTCCGCGAAAGATAAGAGGGCGGGACGGTCGGTGAAACTAGAGTGAGAGTTAGAACTAATGTTCATTATTTTCCTCGTCAAGTGTCGCATCAGAAATGCAACTGACACGGAAAAGAACACACAAAAACAAACAAACAAACAAACAAACAAATAAACAACCAAAAATAAACAACAATAATAACAACAACAACGACAAAAACAACAACAAAAACACAAACCAAAACCCAAAAATAAAAATAAAATAAAATAGAGATCATTTTACCTCGGTCCTTCCTTCCTTGAGACCTCGAGCTTGAGGTGACACCAAGAGAATTTCAAACTCTACCTGCAAGAGATACAAAGGAGACACTGGTAGCAAGTTAAAAAGGCGAAATATACGCATTCGATGTTATGAATCTTTCATTTCCAACGATACCTCTGGGGAGACTGACCAACAATTTAACGCGCCTGGTTGATTGGGATTGTTCAAGAAGACCTCACATGGCGTCTACAGCGGAAAGCTTAGTTATTTTGTTGCTTCATTTCAGTTGCCTGTCCGCAAGAAATACTCCTCATTATCGCCTCCTCCTTATCACTAAGCAAAACTAACGTCAACAATTTGAAAAGCCGTTCAGTTTGTTACCTTTTTGCCCAATTCGTCGGCCATGGCGTTAGATTCATTGACCATGGGTACCATCTGTACCAGGTCCTCTTGCAACAGCAGATCATCTGAAAAAAGCATATTTTTATTTAGTATGCATGTAGTTAATCACATTACTTACAGTAACAAAGTTCTCAACGACTACTAGCCAGCAGAATGAGAGCAATTTGGGATTAAACAATACACAGTGTATGTTTTTTTCCTAAATTGCGGTAACTAGCATAAATGGAATCTTAGTGAGGCATTTAGAGGCAAATAAATTTTTACCCTGAAGTTTCGAAAACCCGGAAGATTAGGGAAACCTACAATAACAGCATTTGAAAGTCGTCGAAGGAATCGCAATCTTCGGATCTCAGCAGCCTTTGAAATAAAAAGCTTCAGGCGAACTTCGAAAGTATTTGGATTAACCTCAGAAATGCATTGCAGATCGCTCCAGCGTTTGTCTGTCAAAGGTTTAGAAAGGGCGTTTGTCACATATATCCGTTCAAGCAACCTACGTGTTTACGACTCATACTGTCCAATCAAACACTTTGGAAATTGTCACGTGACCATGACGTACGAGAATGCATCATCTTTATAACTTTGGTGATTAAGAGCGATTCTCGAATACAGGATGTCGCCCTTAAGTTGACCAACCGCTCTCCCCCAGACTGAATTGAACTAACATACTTTTGGATTGCCCACTGTTCTTGTCCATGTTGAATCCAGAATTCTCTGCTATTTCCTCCTGCGCTAAGTCATAAGTGATTTCTTCAATTTTGACGCCATCCTTCTTTTTCTTTTCAAACTCTACAGGATGATGTAACACGAACAAACTAGCGGAGCCAAACATCACTCTAGCAAGAGAAGACGAAGCAAAAAATAAATAAATAAAATAAAACAAACAAACAAACAAACAAACAAACAAACAAACAAGCAAGCAAGCAAGCAAGTAAGCAAGCAATCAATCATATAGCGATAATTCTCAGGGCCATGGCCTGTGTTATCTGTCAAAATCGATGGCTGGCATGGCTTGCTCAGTTGGTTTTGGTCAGGTCGTAGATAAGTCGTTTGTAAGGTGGTATCAGTTGTAGGAATCGGTTTACTGGTAACTCGACCTTCGTTTTGCTGAACCGAGAACAGATAAAAAGTGCTTCTTCTTGGTTCGCGTGTCTTTGAAGAGTAGTTTGTGCTGTTAGTAGCTATAAATAAATGCCAGAAACACGAAATTGGCTCCCATATTATTGAACAAGCCACAACAACGGCCCCATCTCCACAAAACTGCAAGTTATAAAAACAGTCAATGAAATGTCAAAGGACAAAAACAACAACAACAACAACCACAACGACAAACGAAAACAAAAGAAAACAAAAGAACCACCAACAATAAGAAAAATGATAAGACGTTTCTGAGAGATAGCGGAGACGCATCTTAGATGCTGTTACATTAGGTAAGTGTAAAAGAAGACACAACCTCAGATTATAAAGACGTTCTTCGGGCTAGTCATGTAACTATTGCGTCACCTGCCTGGAAAGCGTCTGTGTAAGAGGCTGCAGAAAACAACAATGTCACAAAACCTTTACCTGTCATTATGGTGTAGCTCTATTTCGTCATGTGATGGTTTACCATTCACCATCAGTTTAGCATCAGCATGCGCGTGTATTGTGATTCTGTCACCATTGTGTGTCACTGTAGCGTGCTGTGGCAGGATGCTACGAGAAAACGTGGGTCAGTCTTATCTCGATGTACTCTCTCTAAAATAGGAAATACAATGACTCCTCGTAGCGGCATCAATAATATTTGTTGTTATTACTAAAATATCTGTTGTCGACAATTACTGCTGTGCTTGATCGAACCGCTTGGAGGACAAAACTTTGACGGAAAACAGCTGACAATAGAGTCGACCCTGATGAACACTATCATCAAGACTGTTATCATTTACAAACATCTTCATCTGGGACTGTCTCCTTTTGCTTTTCAATTTTTCGTTAAAACAACAACAACAGCATTAACNGAACGAACGAACGAACGAACGAAAACAGGGACGGAAAGAGGGACGAGTTTCATTTACCTTCATCTAGACGTTGCAAAGATTATCATGGATTATTTGAAAATAAGACATTAAAGAGAAGACGAAGAAAAAAATAGACCATCTTTGTTTCTTTAAAGCCAAAAGAACACTAGCGAATGATTGGTTCTAAACTGAAGGTCATGATGCAAGTTACCTGGCTTAATAAAGTGGTTAATTTTTCCTGAAAGTTGGGAATCTTCATTAAGATTCCAGAAGTGAGGAGTGGTCTTACGTAGTTCTTTTTCCTTCTTTTCTTGTTCCTCTTTAGCCTGCAAACAATAACAGCAAATTTACAACTTCTAAATTCTAGCGCTACGCTATTAGCGGCAGCCGAGTTGAATAATCCCCCCTCCCTCCCTCCCCTTCAAAGTTCACGCATTACGGATTATTGTAGCAGCAATACAAGCCAATCAGCGCGAACGAAAGAAAGTTGTATCCCGATCAACTTTATCATTTTGCCTCTTACAGTTCACTTTTTCAATGAGTTTACAATTTTTAAACATAAAGCAGGATAAACTGTGAACAATTATTTGCAGTTTATTCTACTTCAGACCGAGATAAGCAGGACATATGATTTCAATGGGGCGATGACAACCAAAACCCAACAACAGCGGGTAGGACTAGTCGAGGTCTTGACAAAACTGGCTTCTTCGAGGAATTATTCCCATTACGAACTCATATTTCGTGAAGTACCACAGAATGGATGAGCCCAGCTAAACAGATACCCAGACTTACTTTGTTGGCTGCCTCCTGCTCTAATAATCTCTCTTCCCAAGACTTCTTCATCTCTTCCATTTCCCTCTGGTTTTGTAACAGCTGCGACAAGAAAGGTAGATTTCAATCAAATTACTGCGGAGTCGAGCAAGCAGTTTAGAGGTGTTCTTTTTGCTGTTCCTTTGTGGGTAGAAAGACTTACTTAAAGAAGCTCAGTCACAGTACTTTAAGTTTTTCTCGCCCGGTACATAATTACCTTTAAATTGCGACGGAAACCTGAAAGTGGGAGTTAACTACAAAGATAGAATTACACCAAAGAGAAAACAGTAAACCATAAAGGAACAAGGATGGTTAAGGATGGAGAAGATTAACGCGGATTACAAACGACGAACATGAAAATTATAGGCTTAAATTTACAAGATCCTTTGATAAATGAATATTACGCCTACCCGTTGCTCCATTTCTTTTTTCATTTCGTTCACCTCTGAAAGTGAATCAAATCAATGGTCAATAATTAAATGTTTCAAAAGTATAATTTTCTATAATTTAAAACAGTGGAACAGCGGAACCACAGACGACGAGCATGGTGGTTACTGATGTTATGAATGGTATAATTTGATTCAGACTCTCCCTCATGGACTTCTTCTAATAGTATATCGCACACAACTATGGGCACCTGCTGGTCACTTTCAATTTAACAATTAGATTATGAGCACGAGATTTCCATCACGCATAGAATCGAGAGCGAATAATCTGATTTCTTTTGTACAAATCTACGTCTCGACTAGTAAATTATCTAAATCTTCTTCACAGACAATTGTAAAAACCAAAGAAGCGGCCGCCAATTTATCAAAAACCGCACACTGCTAAGCTACTCACTATCTACAACAGAAGAGATAGTGAGTAGTGTAGATTTATACCGTTTATTTGTAGCTTATCTCATCGAGTATTTCTAGTGGTCATATTAACGACACAAGGCCAAAAAGACAATGAAGATTCGGCAGTCTCTAACGTAAGAAGGGCTTCCATTGTTCATTTGAAAAAAGAAAAGAAGAAAAAACAGTGCCTTCATTAATTTATTTGATTAAAATATGAGAACCTTCTTCAGAGATTCCGACCATCTGTGACTGGCCAGGTTCCCCTTGCATCATAATCGGCTGGCCTCCCCCTGACGTCTTCAGCTGGTCCAATAGTCTCTGGTTTTCTTCGCGCAGTTCCCGGATCAATTTTTCAGTTGGACTTTCATTGACGACGGCTTTAGTCTTGATAGCCTTGGCTCTGTCGGCTGCAAATAAAGACAAATTCAATCGCTTCTCCGCTCATACGAATTGAGTTGCCAAGAGGACATAATTTTAAAAGATCTAACTGTGCTGTATCGACAAATTGACGGCACCACAAAATATAGAGCTCAGTATAGCTTCTACTTGACTGGCTACACGTTGAAACGGTTTCATCTACAGACTAATAATAGTATTTTAACTTTCACGTAGACAATGTGATGCTGCAATGTGTTTGAAATGAAGCACGAGTTACAAGTTTAAAGTTTAAGTAAAAAATCAAACACGAGAGACCGTGTTCTACCACATGTTCAAATATCGAAATGTGACGCAGCGTATTTCTGGAAAATCGGAAAATGGAATTTATGGAAAATGGCGCACTTAAGATTACACAGCTATAAAAGCACGCCTCACCAAATCGGAGTGTCGACAAGGTCTCTTCGAAGTTAATATCAGCGGGACTTAAGGCTGCAATCTAAGATGAGAATCAAACAGTAAAACAAACCGTCCTTGACAGCATAAGATAGTCGCTACTTAACGACGGGTTCTTTAACAATACATGAGATGAAGTTAGAAGTGATTTCACGCTCCTTGGATAGGATGGTGTTTGTCATATGGTACCCTCCACCCCATCCCCAATCCCCACAAACAATATTTAGCATACAAATACAACATCAAAAATTTAAATGTTTTTAGTTGAGCATTGGCAGTGTTCATGCGCTATAATCTAAAAAAGCCAACGCACTTTCTGTATTTTCTCCAAAACAACAAGATTCACTTGGCACCCACGGACTCATTTCTAACAGAAATTGGGCACCGACTAAATAAATGAGATACAGCTCGAGCTCTAGAATTAATTGCATATTTGCAAACGTTCGCGATTAATCCGACGATGTGACGAACAACGTGCGAAACGAGCATTATTGCTGACCGTGATCTTTACTTTCACTTTTGTGTATAAGGAATCGGAACTCACCATAATTGTCTTGCTATTGCCTCCTAGGGCATTCTTCAGTAGCTTGGTAAGCACAGAGTCACGGAAAGGAACTGAGAAGAAAAACAAAATCAAATAAAAGAAGTTGTGGGCATAATGGCAATCAACGAAAACCGTAGAGATCAGAGCAGAAGAAAAGCTCCTGGAGCGGACTTTATTTGTAGATAATATTTTTTTCCTGGACATGACCATGGGTGGGAAAGAAACGAACAAACAAAAGACAGTTATATCAACAACAATAACAACAACAACAACAATAAAAGACAAGCAAACACCAAATTGTCCTACCGAGTGCTCCTTTCTTTCCAGATGACTGATCAGCAAGGGCTGGAAGACAAAAGAAAAAACAGCTACTTTGTTAAAACAAAATTTGCAAAGATCGCATGCAACATGGAAAGAATGTTTCTCAAACCCATTAATAATTCGTCAAGCTTAAACAAATAAAATCACAACCGTGAAGGAGGTTTGGATACCCGATCTTAAGTAGCAGAGATTTTGACGATTTTAATACTTCTCCGTTTACTCCTTAGCTTTTGTTTCGATTGAGAAGATATATCAAACACGCGAGACAGTGTTTCATCGGCTATCCAAACACCACGAAGTTCGTCAAAAATACTCCGCTGCGCGTCGTATTTTCAACTCTCTTCTCGGTGTTTGGATATCCCGATGAAACACTGTCTCTCCTGTTTGATATATTACATCAAACACGAAAGACCGTGTTTGACCACATTTCTAAACACCGAGAAGAAAGTTGAAAATTACACGCGTAGAGAGCTTCGACGTGTTTGGAAAAGTGGTCAAACTCTGTCTTGTGTGTTTGATACATTTTCTAAATCTAAGCTAGCATTACGGAGAAAACGGAGAAGTAAAATCGTAAAAATCTATGTTAAATGAGATGTGATATCCAAACACCGTAACGACCATGAATTCCTGTATGTAACTTGATGGATTATTCATGAGGTTGAGAAGAACAAAGTCAAATACCTTTGATACAGTTGCCCAATGTGGAAAGAGACTGGTTGATAGCTGATCCTTCCTTGAGCCTGTCTCCAGTAGCCCCAGTCGATTCTGCCCTCTCACTATCAAAAGAACAGAAAAACATCACCCTGAAAAATATCAATCTACCACTAACGAAGGGCCACAAATGGGTTAGTAAAAGATGGCACTGTCAATCACATATAACACGAGGTAAGTTATCTTCTAAATTCCAACGCAACAAACGCTACACGTACACTTTCGAGAACGATTTCAGGTAACAGCCTATTTTGCACCCTGCAATTGTTGCGCTGCGAGTTGCAAGGGGAAAGAACTATCCTGGCTCTGCTTTTCACGTTGTCGGGCTTGCTGCAGGTAACAATCCCTCTGGAACTTGCAACGCATCCTAGGAGACCCAGGGGCTGACAGTCGGGTCAGGAGGACGTCAAACGGGCGAAAGCGGTGCCAACAAAAGCTTAATTACCACTTTCGCCCGGTTGACTTCCTACTGGTCCCTGAGTCTCCGACATGAACATAAAACAACAAAACAAAACAAACAAACAAACAAACAAACAAACAAACAAACAAAAACAAACATTACCAACAAACTGATGGTCACGAAGCTTACCTTCCAGCAAGATCTACCAAGTTCACTATAGAGGTTTTAGTCATCATCTGTCCGGTTTCATTTTTTCCTTTTTGAATGAAGTTAATAGCAACGATTGTGTGGGCACGGCTACAGAAATAAAAGCAAATTATTAATTAAATAATAACTTTTTTTTAACCGAGCGCGAGGGCCGTACTGGGGAGTATTGGCCGGAGATCGTGTACGGACCGAGCGCAGCGAGGGTCATACAAAAGCAAGGGTCAATAATCCTCAGTACGGCTCGAGCAAGCTAGGTTAGTAAAGCAGTTTATTATATGGCACTCGAGCCTTAAAGTTCACTGGCTTTTGAAAACTAAAATAACGCGGCTTATGACGGTCCGTATGGCAAAATNAAAAAAAAAAAAAAAAAAAAAAGAGAAAACAACATCTCGACCAAGAAAGAACCAACAATCAGAACACTCGGATTTACCTGTGGCTGCCCTGCCATACATGTATATAGAATAAAACTGATTGCCTGTAGTGCACATTTCGATTTCCTCTGTAGGCAAAAACTCCGCGATTACAACATAAAATTTGGAACAGAACCCGATCGATAGAAGACAGCAGGACAAACTAATTTCTTCGCGATCTCACTATTCCAACAACACATTTATGTTCAAGATCAGTGTGATTGAGCTTACCTGCTAGTGGCATTCATGTTGGTAGCGGCCACTGTTCTGTTGCGTGTGCCCTCTTCAATGCGGCTATCAATATCAGCATAGTCTTTAACTGGGACAGTCACTAAACTTTCGACTGAATAAAGACGAACAAAGGATCAAAATTACACATTTGGTACAATAGCGTAACAGGCTCAGGTCAAATAAATACTTTGATACCGCGTTTTTCAAAATGTAAGGTACATTGATCGAAATGTTGGCAACACGCTGGGTAACACGAGGACAGGGCGTTGGTCAATACAGAACAGTGCCACTTTAATCTGATGAAATGCTGACAGTACATTGGCCATTACTTTGAAAACACTGCACGAGTGCAGTCTACAAATCTCTCACCATAAAATCCCTTAGCAGGATGCTGCCTGACTTTTAGCCCTCCTTTCTTGTTACTTGCTGGGTTTAATAAGTCACGTACCTTAATGCAATAAAATAGAGCAGAAAGCACATTATGTACGTGTATTATAAAAAAGCTGTTTTGACAACATTTACTTGTTATAACTGGGAGAGGGGGCATTCCCTATAATGGACTATACGGGAATAGCCTGAGGCAGGGTCTACACTACGCCGGAGGAATTTGAAAACGCAGCTTTATTTCTACGGGTAGGCCTACCGTCGACACTAATCCGTCACGAAAATAGAGCTTTTCGAAAACTCTCTTTAAACCGGAGGAATTTGAAAACACCGGCTTTTCATTTTTATGTGGGAAGGAAAACATTTTGAAAACGGAGCTCTTCGAAATGATGGCGTCACGATATCAAATCATGTGATTTCTCTGCCCGAGTTTTTTTCACAAACAAAATAATCCAAAATGACCGGTGATTGTTGTGTTTTTAAATTCCTCCGGCGTAGTGTGGACGCAAAACTTTTGATGCGTTTTCAGAGTGAAACCTCCGTTTTCAAATTCTTCTGGCGTAGTGACCGACTATATTACTGACGAGGTGGTGCGAAGGCCGTTTTGTGGGTTTGAAATTGACGATTTCGGATTTCTAGGGTAGAAATTTCCTGCTGTACCTTTCTTGGACAGAAAGATCTCTACAGGACTCTTATAGGGTCGGCAAAACTGTACTGCAGGCATGTGAAAGGAGTTGTACCAATTTTTATTTCAATTTTTCTTTAGTCTTTTCTGTCAAAAATGGTAAAGGCTGGTTTTTATTAGCGACAGAGTCGTAGTTGGAGTTTTAATCAGAAGAGCTCTAGCGATACGATCAGGCGTTCTTTTACCGTTCGCCGAAAATATGAACGCCTTGATTCAGTCCAGGCATCGTGATTGGTAGATTTTTCTGCTTCTGCCTCTGACCCCAACAATCTAGTGTTCACTGGATCATACGCGACGAAGTCGTAAGCGGAATCGGAAGAAAATGGAGACATTCTGATTCTTCTGACTCCGATTCCGTTGAGCTTACAGTATGTTTCTACTTTAAACGACCCTCATTTTCGATTTACACTAGGTTGTAAGCATTCTTATGACTCCGACTGCGACGCCATCGCTAGTGAAAACTATAGCCTGAAAAGGATAACCTGCAAGGGTTTGGCCCTCGGGGCGGAGTCTCCCGGTATTAACTCTGTTGAATACCATCCCCAGGCGTCAATACCGCATGTTGCATTCTGGCAATGATACATGTGACATGCTTTTGTAGAATGAATTTGAACTTGAACACTAAAATATACGTGTCATTTAAATTAATAGCATGTATCTCCGCTTGTATTTACATTTACTTGATTAGGTGGTATCAGACAGCGTCTACACTACGCCGAAGGCATTTGAAAACGCAACATTATTTCTATACATGTATGCTATGCCTACCATCCACATTAATCTGCAACGAAAACGAAGCTTTTCGAAAACGCTCTTCAAACCGGAGGAATTTCAAAACGCAGGCTTTGCGTTTTAGTATGGACGGACAACATTTGGTAAACGGAGCTTTTCAATAACGATTACATCACGATGATAATGTGATTTCACTGCTCGAGTTTTCCTCAAACACAAATCCGATGTGACCGGTTATTGCTGCATTTCAAAATCCTCCGGCGTAGTAAGTGTGGACGGAAGACATTTGATGTGTTTTCAGAGTGAAACCTCTGTTTACAAATTCCTCCGGCGTAGTGTAGACGGCGCGCTAGAGTAGGTACTCACACATGACTATTGTTACAGCTTAGGGGTAATTTTAAAATGTGCCTTATCAACATGCGTGTAGTTTCTGTTAAGTGTCGCAATTAGAACCTACCGCTTCATTGTAGATTTCAAGCATGCTGAATGTAACCTAAGGTAAGAAATGAACATAATTTTTGTTGAACAAACATTTTTGTACTAGATAAATAGGCATATCATGTAGAAAAAGTGGTTCAAGAGTACAAAGAGTAAATGACTATAGAACACACCTCCTCAATGTATGGAAGGGATATTAAAAGCAGTTAACAATTACAAGCTCTACTCTACTGGAATCTATACTAACATGTCATTGGAAAGTATCATGAAGAGATAGGCACAACACGTTTTCTTAATAGGAAAGATATAACCACGTGTACTTTATATTCTTGGGATTTTCCCCTCTTTTTATATTCATGTAATGACTACCTGTATGTCTTTCACAAGCAGAACCCAGTTGTTCAAAGGGTGAATAACAATATCTACCAGATAAATCACTGTTCAGTGGATGAGTGTTTACAAAACAAACTGCGCCAGCTGGATAGTGATTTACCTTTCGAACAACCCAGGTCAGTTGAAAAGTTTTAACATCTAGTACACCTATCACACAATGTATGACTACTTACACATCAGCAGTCTGCAATGCGCATTTATAAAGAGCGCCATTCAAGTAAGACTTTGTTTGACCAGTCTATTCAAGAGGATTCTTGAAGATATCTGTAAATCAGGCCATAACATATAGTACTAAGCTGTCTTTTGTAAATGATAATTATTGGAAATACCTGGTATTCAGTCTCTGAACCTTCTTTCCTTTTTTCTTCTACTTCATTGAACAGCGTCTCACAAAATATAGGCACAATACCTACAGTAATGTTATAAGAACACTAGTCAGTCAGAGAGAGTAAATATTAGGTTCACCAGGCAAATTAAATTATATGAGGTTAAGAAATCCATTCTACCAGTCCCCCCTCCATCGTGATTTGCCTCCCTCTCTCCCATTTAACACCCACTAGGCAGGCTATGGGCCAATAGAAAATGAATGCAGCATTCTCAAGAGGGATGAGCTGGGGAGAGGAGAGGAATGCCCATATAAAGAGGATTGGGGGGGGGGGGGGTGCTTGTCAGAAATTTTGAAAGAACTCCTTACAAGAGGTACCAATATCCCATTTTGTGCACATGCCTTGAATTTTTTCACTCCTAAGAGAAACCAATTCTAAAACAACATATTTATTTAATAATTAATGTAATTAATAATTTATGATTCAATTGTCAATAATTGACAATTGAATCATAAATTTAAAACTGTTTCAAAGACAATTGCTTTGAATACCTTCTACTGGTAAAGTTGATTATCAAATATCTCCTGTCCTATTTTTATTTCTTTTTTTTGGCTCAATACTCTAAAAGGTACTGCAATTAAACTCAAGCTGTGGACCTTATGAGGCTGAACACCCCAATAAGTACCAAAACTGCCTTTTCAACCCCTACAATGTATTGTAAGCACCTGGTACCCGGGATTTAAGATGCTGATGAAAGATAAGAGCCCCTCTCATCACGCTCCATACATGTAATAGACACTGTATCAGACTTGCATCAAGGTGTGAAGGAAAGTTACAAAATAAAATTAACATGATTTTTACATCTTATGGGACGAAAGAAACTTGGGACCTTAATTGCACAGCCAATCAAAGGGTAGTAAGAAAAAAATAGCAGTTATGAAACTGCGGAACTCTATTTTACTGATCAGGAATTACATATATTTTTCATGTACCAAACGTTCACCTTTATTTTGTCCATATCCAACCATGGAGTAGGATTTCCCTGAACCTGTTTGACCATAGGCAAACAGTGAGCAGTTGTAGCCTTTCCATGCATTCTCAAGTACCCCCCTACCGAGGTCATCAAATACACGTTTCTGCAAGATAAAAAATAAAATCAAAAAAGTTAAAAAATAAATAAATAAAATTACACAATTATACCTTTAAATTGAAGCTGGGGAGTTCTCAAAATAATTGTGTGGTAAATTGAATTAATAAATAAACTTACCACACAATTATTTTGTGGCCCCTCAGGCTTCAATAGGTCATGTTCGATGTACATGTATCAATATTATAAACATGGCTGATCCAGGACTTACAGGACTAATTTTTCTTTTGTCCCTCAATTCCCAAAAGACAGTAGGATACAAAGAAAATACCACCTGGTTTGTCCTGAAAGCCTGACGGAGCCATGCTCGAATGTTGATATATTGAACATGGCCTATTTAAAGGTACTTATCAATTTTAATGTATGCCACAAATATTTGCTCAAAGCACTGTATGAGCATGTCTCTTTATACACATATCTACAGACCTACAGGGTTGTCATTAATTTTTTAGTCACCTGTAGCCTTATTCTCCACACCCATAGCAAATTTGTTACTTTATGGGTGAATTCTCTGAACAACAGGGAATTTCACCCGTAGCATCAAGGGAAAATCAAGCATACTCAGCCGTAACAGGTGTTACTGCTTACGGCCCTTAATGACAGCCCTGACCTATACGCTTCCCACGTATGCCTACAGACTGAGTTTGCCGAGGGTCTTACCTGATCTGCATAATGAGACTCTGCAGGAGAAAGGTAGCCATCTTCAAGCTCTTTGAACCCATCATGTGACCAATAACTAAAATCAAATGCAAACTTCCTTGGTTCCTGCTCTGGAGCTGCAGGATCTGTTATATATGTACTGTTTCCCTGCATCTTGATGATCAATACTGCAGCGCGAGCTTTCTCGCGAGAATTGTGCTAAATGTCAAGGGTTTGTAACCATTCATGTACAAAAGTCATGCACGTGGCATCTCTGAAAAGCTATGTTGTGCTATTAGTCATACTTTTTTGAATTCTTAAAAAAAGATCTTTTTGTTTTGTTTGTTTAGTTAACAAAACCAAACAAAACATTCTTTTTTTTCATATTATTTGTGGTATCGGAAAAAAAAAAAAGAAAGAAAAAATAAAATCTGCAGTAATGGTGAAATGTTTAGAGTAAAGTGCAAATTCTGTCTGACAGAAGTCAGAAAACACACTACCACCAAACATGCACATGTATTTCTTTTAAGCTAGCTTTTGATCATATATAATTGACTCTGAGTGGGCATTAGATGAACCAAATCTGTTGGGCTAGGGATTGTCTTCTCGGTATTGTGTTCCTCAACAAACATGACACTCTATGCCATGCATATATAAAGCCTTTACTCAACCAAGCCTGTTTGGTCACGATTAGGCTGGCTGGTTCATTTGACGTATCAATTGGATCTTGACAGTGTGTCATTCTAATACTCAGGAAAACACATGCACAGGAAAAAACAAAAACAAAAACAAAACAAACAAACACCTTGACCAATATGATCCAGCCATCTTGACCTCTCTTTAATTAATTATACCTATTCGCAGGTCAGTATTTCTTCACTTTGACACTCCCACACACAAAATTGACATTTGCAAGATTAGTATGAGCTTCATGTGACTAATGTTAGTGCATTTTTTTTCCCAATGAAAGTACATGTAAAACATGTTTTGACACCTGTGATAGTTACTAGAGTGTACTGCAGTGCGGACCAGTGACTACTACACACAAATATCAATATCAAGGTGCTTTCTTCAAGCACCCACTCAGATTGCCATTGGAACTGGCAAGAATAACTACAGTAAAAACCTGCATGTGAGAACCTAGGGATTTAAGAACCTTCAGGCAGAAATTTGCTTTTTTAATACCCCAAAATATAAGAACCTGTTTAGTCAAACAAATTCCAACAGGTTCTTATATGTGGGGTTTAACTATCTAATTTATATATTTTTTTTTACCAAAAACCAAAAAGGTGATCGAGAGTTTAGAAAATTGAATTGTTCAATGAAACTCAAAATGCACAATGTATGTTAAATTTGAACTGTTGTTATGAAACAATTATTGCTACAGTTTACAGAATGTATCATTTCTATGTAATTAATGTTGTTGGACTTTTGGCAACATGGGTACATTAATAAATATTTATAATGAAGAACAGACGAGATTTTATACCATTTTCTGATAATCAACAACGATGTCTACTCTGTAGAAATTAAGAACCTAATTAAGAACCTACTTAGCCTAAACTGTCAACAAGTACCCAATAATACAAGAACCTGTTTTGCCAAACTCTGAAAAAAGTAGGTACTTACACGCGGGTTTTTACTGTATTAGTGATGGTTTAGAGCTAATCACGACGATCAAGGTACAATACAGTTCTTAAGCTTATTATACAAGTGCGTGAAAATTGCGTGTCATTAAAAATTGAAATAAGAAACAAGCTAACTGTAAACACTATCACGTACAGTTGATAGCAGGTATCCACGTTAATCAGAAGTATATATTTGATCAGAGGATATCTATAGCAAAAAGTGACACAAGTTTGAAACTTCTAAAATGTGCAAAACAATGCCACCTGCAGATCGATATATCTCTCCCAATTAGCTAATGCAATTTTGCACTGGCACAAATATCGGTATTTCCAAAGAACAAATCACAGAAAAAAACAAACACAAGTATGAAGTACCATAAGCCAATATTTTCCACAGCATAGGCCGATGTCAACTTCCCAGGCTAATATTGAAGCATAAAGGATATAAATGGACGGACACGAACTGCCACTCGTACATTTTCCGCCATCTTGGTTGTGAAGTGTGATAGCTGTTTCCTTGGCTACTGTTCGTCTATTAGAAGATTTTAGTTTCGCTGCAAAATTCTCTTCGATATCACGAAGAACACATTGATTTCCTAACGGAAAGCCAAAATAAATGCACCGAAACACTTGATCTCACTTTTTTGAGCACCAAACATGCTCTACTTCATGAGTTCAAGTCGATGACTGGCGGGGTCCCGGGGTAATATTTTTGCACGTCACAATGTTTACGTTGCGTTACCAAAACACGACACTTTCGCAATTTCGTGTCTTTCATACGACAATTAACCGACTAAATTCGTCAAACTAAGTCCATTAAGTCCATTGAACAAACGACAGCGAATAAGTAAATATTTTTACTTGAATAATGGAGCATTTTTGGCATGTTTGTTTTTGTTCAGTTCTAAAAATGTGCTTCTGGCTGACAACGAAAGTAAACAGCAAAATGTGCCCCACTCCTCACCAGAACGGAAGTCAAACCTTCTCTTGGGGGACGGGTGCCAATTACAAAATTTCCCGTGCTTTGAAAATTTCAAAATGGCGGACGTAGTGATCCGTTCTTGTAGGTTTCGCGTATTTTCTCCTTCTTGTTGTAGGGCATTGTCAGGTGTTCGACAGCTGAAAACGGCTGCAAATTTGCGTAAAGGTAATTTATTTTCTTAGATTAGGTTGTGTTTTAACAAGAACAAAGATTCACCATTGTAATTTCTATCATGCATCAACGCCTCATGTAGCCGGTCCAGTGGCTCAAAGTCCTGTAATAATTGTTTTCTCAGTGTTTCAGTACTTAATCTTAAGTTCTGATGTCATATCGACCAAAAAGCTAATGAAATTTCCAATCCCCTCACCACTGGCATAATTTCTCATGGAATTCGGTTTACGAAAATTCAATTTCCAAAATTTAATAAGGTATCCGGTTGTTGAGGCCCCCTCTGGCTAGTCGTTTAGCACTGCCCTGTTCAACCGGTAAACCCCCAACCTACAGTCAATTAGTCCCCAAACAAAACTCGTCTTTTAAACACAGTATGTCATGCTTCTTTTACTCTTTTGATGTGGGTCACAAGTTGCGCTACCGTTGGGTTGTCATTTCAATTCAAATAATTGGGCTATTCCATTTTATATCTGCACCCCTCTCCCCACCCCCACCCCTTACTCCTATTGAACAGTTCCCTGTTAACCCCCCCAGTAAAAAAAATGGAATTATATTAATCCCCTTTCCAAGGGAAATCCAGGCCTTTACATGGGAAAAACCCTCAGAAAGCCAAGTTTAAAAAAACTTGGCTAAATACCTCCTCTGATTTACCATAAACACCCAACGGCCTTGTGAATTCCTAAGATCTTTACACACCTATCTTGGCCTTCCCTTTGGATATGCAAGGTCCTCATCGGGAGGGGTGCAGATAGGGAGGGAGAAGGATGGCCCAAACTATGTTTTCAGCTCAACATTTGATTCAAATCTCGAGCTGAAAACATAGTTTGGGCCCTCACAGATCCCAAAATCCACACACTGTGATAACAAATGCAAGGACATTGTGAGAGCTAATATTTTATAGTTTACATTTGAATGTAATATTTTATTTTCTTACAGCAGCTTTTGGACAAACGGTGCTGAAGTTGAATACCGGGTCTAAATTTATATCAGTGACCAAAGTGTGTGCATCCTGCACAAAAATAAGAAAACTGTCTAATCCCTCAAGTGTTGCTGTACCAAGTCAAGTTATTACTGCTAAAAGGTTTGCAATGAGCAACTGCATTACCAACAGTGCAATTGTTGATTTCATTTTAATAATTTATTTACTGAGTGAACGATTGATTGATAGACTGACCATCTGAAAATGATTGATGAACCAAACTGAGCAACTGTCTGACTGGTCGGCCAACATATGACTGATTGACAGAATTGATTGGTTGAACAATTTACTGGCTGGCTGGCTGACTGACTGGCTGACTGAGTGACTGAGTGACTGACCAACTGACTGACTGACTGACTGACTGACTGTCTGGCTGACTGTATAGCTGACTGACTGACTGACTGTCTGACTGACTGATTGACTGACTTGCTGACTGACTGACTGACTGACTAACTGACTGTCTGGCTGGCTGGTTGGCTGACTGGCTGGCTGGCTGGCTGATACACTATAGATTGGCTGGCTGGCTGGCTGACTGACTGTCTGACTGATTGATCGATTGATCAATTGTATTGTTATATGTCCTTTCTGAGAGTTTATAACGATGCCTTTTGCGATAATAATAATTTTTTTCATTATTTTGCACTTGACCAGATAAAGTTATCGCCAATTTTTGGACCATTAAAAGTTCAGATCATTTTAAAGTTTATACTGCAAAGCATATAATGCCCTTTGTTATACTCAATAATAGAATGCCAGATGCCAGTACATTTAGTGTTCTTTTTTCTAATTATTATTGTTCTATTGTGTGTAAAATTAACTTCCCGTAATGATACATGTAACAGTAAATATATGTGTATTTGTTATAATAATTATATTTGATTGGTTTTTTTTTGCAGTACTGAAATACAGAAGTCTAAGAAATACCAGCCCCTTCAAGTAAGTATGGTATGATTGTTTTATTTTCTCGTTGGTCACCAAATATAGCAGAGCTATCAGTCTTAATAATGAGCTATATGTATGCTGAAAAATTACCGAGAGACTGGAGCCATTTGCCAGCAATCTGCAATTTATCCTTACAGTACATGCGTTGTTAAAAATGTTGACACTCCCAAATGTATTTATCTGCTCTTATAAACATTTTATTTTACTAAATGTTCTTCTAATCTATGATTATGTAGGTGTACTTGTGTAATCATGAGACTGTATTTATAATCACAAAGTTCTATGTTTTATTTTCTTTTGTATACTTGTGTGCGGTTTGGTTGTTTGTTTGTTTGCTTTTGTTTGTTTGTTTTTAGGGGTAGGGGGTTCTGTTTTCTTTTTCTTCGTTTAAACTTTTCACAATCCACACAAAAAACGTGTTTTTTTCCCTTCAGGTTATGCCATTTTCTTTGACACAAGGAGGCAAGTGTGCTGCTCATGTGTTGCAGAAACACAAGCCAAAAAGAGCGTTAGTGTTTGTGCGAGCTAGGGGTGAGTTATTACAAATCAAAAGAAAGGACATGAAATTCTGATAATTCACTTTTGGCGTAGGCACATGTACATGTAATTAAAAATGTATTTACATTAGTCAAAGGCAGAGATCTTCTAATAAAATTGATACACCTTTGTACAATATAAATCTCCACATTGGTGACATTGCTTTGCATGGGATCTGGAGTTATAAGCATTGTTGTTACGATCACCTGTCTTCTGTGGAGACCTCACCTATGCTACATGTACATATTATAATTAATTGCAGTTCTAGCTGTGGAACTTGCAAAAGAATTGGAGGAATACGGCCTGAAGTGTTCGGTACCCAAGAGTGAGGATAAGGCTGGCAGTGAGACTGAGTCAGATGGAATCAGTTTAGAGGTGAGTACTATCTTGCACTCTGCCATACAAGCATACATGTACATGTACAAAGGAAACATTGAGATTGCATAAACTTCAAAATATCAGTATATCCACATTTTCTGTCACTATTTTAATTTTTCTTTAATTCCCTTGAATTATTTGTAGGAAGTTACATACATGTACAGTCTGTACCCAGTGACAATGGACACAGAGACTTTGGACACAAAGGCAATGGACAGACAATCAGTGGAGAAATTGTCAACAGAGACACAGCCAACAGACAGACAATCAATAGAAGAAAACTCCATGGACAGACAAATGGTGGATGATGAACAGATTGAGGATGCTGAGCCAGGAATAACCGTGGTAAGTGTTACAATACAAAGTTACCTTAAGTTTGTTAATTTATTCATTTATTTATTTAAAAAAAAAACAGGGAAACGAAATCATAAAATTCTGTGGCTCATTCACTTGTTTCGAGAGTTCAGATATCTAAACTAAGACTTAAATTTTAATTTGATCTGTCATGTAAGATCCCTGATTTGTAAACCTTGTAAATGCTAGATGGTTGACTCAATCACTGATAATTAAATATAAAATTTATTTATTAATTTTTCTTTTAATTACCACGTTTACACTGCATCACACTGGCAATTTACTTTACAAAACTGATTTACAACATTGCTGTTCAGGTAATCTATGTACAGTGTAGTCAATAGACAGTCTGCCATGCAATGTGCGTATGTGAGGTTCAATGGGTTCAGGTAGCAGCTCTTGCAAGGTCTCATACATTCTCGTCCCCAGGGGTTGTACTCCTTTTGGTCAGCACCAAGAATCGCGACCTCTGGGAAGGTCAAATTTTCTGAGCATGCACAGAGTAATTGTTTCGTATTCTCAGCCAATCAGATTTGTCAGACTTGACTCTGAGCATGCGCAGAGTGACGGGAAGTCCATGAATCGCAGACTTCTGCTGTTGGACTGAGCCAGAGGTTGCGATTCTTGGTGCTGATCAAAAGGAGCGCGGCCTCTGGAGACGAGAATGGGTCTCCCATGGATGTATCAAGTGAGACATCCATGGGATGCCCTTTGAAAGAACTTGTAATAAAACCATAAACAACAGAAACAATGTCCCTAGTCTCAAAACAACTACAGCTGCTACACTATGATGACAGATTACAAGCTTGCAAGAGGTGCTGCAATTTTTGTTTGAACATGAATAGTAAATACTCAGTGAAATTATTTTGGGCTTGCAAGTGCTGTAAGGCACTACAAAAAGTAAAGAAGAGCTGCATTTCCAGACATCTGTAATGCTCTCTCTACTTATCTTGACTACCAACACTACACAGTCACACAGAGTCATGTACAATAAAAGGGAACAGAAGGTATAGTTACAGATATTTTATTAGTAATTTCAGTACTTTTACATTAGTTAGATGTAATTGACAAGATTTCATTAAAATGCACATGTACAACTATCACACACTCTAAATTAAAGTTTGAACTAATTAATGTAATATGCACAGCATGTCGCAATTGATAAAGTGGTATTTCAAATCTGCCTTGTACCTTTGCTCTGGTTCAAAATTATAACCCCTTTCAATAGCTGAAGTAGAAGAATTAACAACAATCTTTGACAGTGGTTTGAAAAATTTAGGCCAACAATTAAACCAAATTAAATTGTAAGCTCTGCATCACATGAAGCTAACTGTAATTTATTTTGATGTGCTATTATTACCAGCTGACAGAGGATGATGTTAAGTCCATGGAGGACCTCCTTCCTGTGGATCTCATTGTATTAGGTTGTTATGAACTTTAATTTACCATTTTATTTTCCAATGTACAGTAAAGCACAAATGTGATGCAAGGCAGCATATACGAACAAAATACCCGGCTTTTGGGACTTTTTGGCGAAAATAGGAAATTCGTCCTAAGAGTAAATTTTGGATTGAAAATTTGCGAGTAGTAATTTACTTTGTTGGTCAGGAACAGTTGCTTAAAACTTTTGAAGCAACTGTCTGTCTGTCTGTCTTTCTGTCTGTCTGTCTTTCAGTCTACAGACTGTCTACATGTCTGTTTGTCTGTTGGGTGGCTGATGGAGTATCTGTCTGCTGGTCGTTCTCTCTGTTTGGTTGTTTCTGTCAGTGGTGGTTTTGTTTTTTTTCTTTTGTCGTTTTTGTTACATGTACGTACGTATGCAGAATCATGCAAGTAAACACCTCCGTTTATTCAACATTTATTCATTCCATTTGTGTCTTCAGTCACAGGAAATAGGAATTTGCTTTTCTGTCTTAAATATGGTTTGCATACATAGCTGATGAAAGAGAGCATTAAATATGTGACCTTAAATGATATGCATACAGTTTATTTAGTAATTGTGGATTGTTATCGTTTAGTTCAACAGCCCATGTCTGGCAGATCATTCACACTGTTCTGTTTAAAAAAGACACATGTTAAGGTTAAGCCGCTCGATGTGGTGCTTCTCTATGCGCACAATGATATTCCCTTCTTAAGAGAGGTAAGAAAATGATTAGTACACATTTTATAACTTGTTAACGATTTTGCTTTGCAATTTTTGAGGTAATATATCAAACACAAAAGAGCGTGGTGGACCACATTTCCAAACACCGAGGAGTGAGTTGTATGCGTCGTATTTTCAACGTACTTCGAGTGGTCACACACTGTCTTGAGTGTTTGATATATCTTCCCAATCGAAACTGAAACTAAGGAGAAAACGGAGAATTAAAATCGTAAAAGTTTCATCCCCGTTACCGGGATGTCGGTCGCAAAAACCGAGATCTCGGCAACCGGGCCAGCCCGGCTTCTCATATGAGCACATGAAATTTTTAGGATTAAAAGAGCGACGAGGCGAGATCTCGGAAACCGAGCCACCCCAAATAACCGGACTCATATAAAGAAGCCCTTAGCTCGATAACTATTGTGAAATGTTATCCAAAGAATTGTCCAGCAGCAGAAAAGGCAAGAGGAATTGAGAAGTGCACTGACCCTGCATCAATTCTATCTCTTAATTGACTTCATTCTCGTCGTACCCGTCGTAGATTCGCTAGAAATTGCATGTAAAATGTGTTTGCAAAACAAGCTTGATCCATGATTCAGGCTTTGGTATTAACAGGGCGTTTGGGGCTTTCAGGGGAAAGGGGAACAAAAAAAGAGATCACAATGTACGTTGATTTTTTTTTCTGTTTCAGATGCAAACTCATGTCAATGTTAAGAAGCTAGTACCACCTTCATTCTACGATGTGACAGTGATGACTGAAGGTGTACCGTCAGTTCAAGAGGAATCCGCGGTATGAGATTTTTGGAAAAATATTTACAGATAGGATATTACACGGCGGCGTGGAGATATGAATTTTATTTCAATATTTTTACGAACGAGCCCAGCGATAGAGTAAAATATATTGTTTTCAAGACGGGAAAATAAAATTCATATCTTCAAGCCACCGAGTAGCTTTCTTTTTATTATATAGACAAACTGACGGTTTGCTCAAAGAACCGTGGAAAAGCGAGAAATGACGTCATCAATGTCCTTACTGGTGAGGATATGGAAAATACGAAACTCGGGTTCCGGATGCAGCTTCGTTTGATAGGCCACTTCCGAGTTGCCCTGTGCCTCTATTTCAAACCAAGTCTAAGTGCGAAACCATTCTTATGAAAATGACTGATTTGCCTGAAAATAAACCTGTAGGCGGAACTCATTTTCATATGAATTGTTTCGAACTGAGACTCGTTTTGACGCAGAGGCAAGAGCCAACTTGGAAATGGCCTTTTTTTGCCACTAGTGTATTTTTCATTACAACACTCGTCTAATAAACAGTTATTCCACGAGCGCGCGTTGGATATGTGATATATCAAATACGAAAGACAGCGTTTCATCGGGATATCCAAACTCCGAGTAGAGAGTTGAAATTACGACGCGCAGCGGAGTATTTTTGACGACATTCGAGGTGTTTGGATAGCCGATGAAACACTGTCTCGAGTGTTTGATATATCTTTTCAATCGAAACAAAAAGTAAAGAGCAAACGGAGAAGTAAAATCGAAAATCTATGCTAATTAAGACCGGGTATCCAAGCCTCCTTCACGGTTGTGATTTTCTTTGTTTTAAGTTGACTAATTATTAATAAGTTTGAGAAGAGGTTGTGGAAAATCAACGAGGCGCGTAGGACATACATGTTCTTTGCTTTTTGAAAGAAATATGAACGAACAAGTACGGTAGTTCAGTAAAGCACACTAGAATTTGTTCCTGATACAATGAGCTGTTGAAAATCTCCGTGCGTGTTCGAGTCTTCGTTTTCCGCATTGTAACGATAAAGCTTCGTTTTCAAAGCCCTCTTCTTTTCGTTTTCCATACGTTAACTGTAGCTTGCGCTTGTGGAAGGATTTTGGCGCCTTGCATAGTGTCTATGGCGTGAACCAAGGCTACTATAGTGACGACTATACAGGCCTTATTATACAAGATGCACTTTCGAGCGGAAAGTTAATTATTAACGTACTGTAAATAGGGTCGTAGTTAACCTGTTGATTTGGTGTCGTTTAGGTGACGCCTGGAAGACGTTTGATAGAACCCCCACCACCTTCGATCACAGCAACCATCCCGCCAAAACTCGTCCCGTTTAAACGGTTTCAACCTCCGGTTCCTGTCCCAAGCAAGGTGACAATCCATTTGTACACGTTGTAAAGCTCTTAGGGAAACGTTTTCAAGTGGAGTTATAAATCCACGGTGTACTACTGCTGCAGACTCGTACTCAGTCGCTATTTACGTTACGTCGTTATTTCCAAAGGACGACAACTTTTCGAGCTGTGGTTGAAAAAGTGCACTTGGCTGGTGTACGATCGAGATGACAATTTCATGTATTGTAAAGTCTGTGCGAAAGCTACTGAAGAAGTCTAACGGATTGAGCAAGGAGTCCTAGGGCAGAAATTTTCAAAATACTGCGCTCTGTAGACATGCTGGTCTTCAAGAACACCAAATGGCCAACTTGTGTCTACATGCTATTTGTCCCCAAGGGTACGGGACACATGTTCATAGATCTGGGACTCGTAGTTTACTGGTCATGTGACTCCCAGGACTCACTACAGCATTTTTGTAGATGGATCACTGTTCCACGTGTTGCTAGGCTGGAGGCCTAGTGTGAAAGGTTTAAGTTCAAGTTTTCGTAGAGTTTACAGACATGACTTAAAGTTGCGAGATTTAAGGAAAACAATATTTTTAGATGATTTTGTATTAATATAAAGAAATAAATCTAAAACGTTAATAATACAACACTTTCATACACAAGATGTGATTTTGTTGGATTAAGCAGCCAAAAATGTCATATTTTATAGGGAGCGTGTTACGTGATTTTCAACCTTCGTTTAGGGGTGGGTCAGTCAGTTTTGCACCACATGGAAGGGGTGGGTCATGTGTTTTCTAACCATTACATTTTCAAATGTTCCGGCTCAATCCCCTCCCACCTGTACATTTTGACCAGTCTCTTAAACAATCCAATCTGACCCGCAAATAGCGACTGCCATTGGTAAATTTTACATAACCTTCGTTACGTTTCCAGTCCGTACTTGGCAGTTTCAGCACCCCGATGTTTGTGAGCCTCACTGGATGAAAGGCAAAGCGATTTTATTCTTTACCAACCACTTACTTCGTGTGTCATTTTAAATTGCTTTGTTTAACTTGTTGCTACGATTTTGCTTCCTGTTAGCGACCTGAACGCCATGGGCTGGACGACCGCGCCCGCATCTATGTCCGTGGTGGGGGTGGTGGCCAGGGCTCACCTAACTTTGGAGGAATGGGAGGAGATGGTGGGGATGTGATTGTACAATGTCTTCCATATGGCACTTTAGCTCATTTCACTCTTAAAGAAAACCGACGAATTATAGCAGAACATGGCACCTCGTTTAGGTGAGTAGCCTACTAAAACAAATCAATGTGTATTTGTTTTTCTCGTCACCTTAACCAAAAATTTCCTTTTTTGCTTTTTACGTTGCAGTAAAGTTTTGAATTTCATATTATTGACTTTAGGCAAACGACAACGGCAACAGCGACGAAAATATTTGAACAGTACAGTGTGGTCTGCCCATGCCTTATAAATCTTGTGACGTGAAATGACATCGTAGATCCAGAGACCGTGAACTACGAAGGCCATTTTTTTGAATTCCTCATTGCATTGGGTGTGTACTCTGAAAACAAATTGTCCTAAACCATTCTCTTTTACTTTAGAGCCGTTTTCTCTTGAGTGTCGAAAAGTAATTGAAAGTAATTGATTTTGTCTTATTACGTTGCACGATTGGCTTAAACAACTCGTGCCCCTTTTTGAGCTAATCACAAGTGAGACGAAAACCAATCGTGCCTCGCCTGCACACGTTTTCCCGCGCTTCGCGTCAACTACCTTGTATTTACTATGAGTTTTGATTGGTTCACTGGATTGTCTGTGTCCTTTGTGATTGGTCAGAGGGATCACTTTGGTTTTGGTTTTACGATACTCAGAATAATTATAATTATTAATAATACAAGGAATAATTATTATAATTATTATAATTATTTGCTTTTTTAGGATTGACGAAAAAGGTAGGAAACACCGTGCAATCCGTGGACGGGACACAATCATACCAGTCCCTGTTGGAACCACTTTGTCGACGGATGACGGACGAATTATCGGGGAATTAGAAGAAATAGGGTCCAAAATTGTGGTGGTTAAAGGTGGCCGAGGTGGTTCAGCTGCAACGGTGAACTGGTGCGGAGAGAAGGGCGAGAGAAATATTGTGAGACTGGAGATGAGACTGCATTCGGACATTGCTCTTGTTGGGTAAGTGACAAAGTGTTGCAGTAGTCGTACTTGATAATGTGTTACAGTAGTACAGTCAGTTCATCCGTCCGTCCGTCCGTCCGTCCGTCCGTCAGTCAGTCAGTCAGTCAAACCATCCATCTATCAATCAATTAGACGCTTAGTAACTAAGTCAGTCAGTCAGTCGATTGATCAGCCCTCCACGATCAAGGCTATCTTTTTACGTGGTTGATAGATCAAAGTGATCGCGGAGGCAGCGTGGCCGAGTGGTTAGAGCGTCGGACTTGACATCCGGATATCGCAGGTTTTAGGACCCTTTCTTACTACTAGCTGGTGTTATTCTCTGTAGCCCCGGATTCAACTCCTCCATGTTAATTGCCTCCTAACCGTTGGAATTTTGAACCATGTTATGTTCATTTACAATGTTTGATTCATTGTTTATTTCCCTCTGGGGGAGTGGTTAATTAAGATATCTGTTATTTGACATGCTTTTTTTCTTTAGGTTTCCAAATGCTGGGAAATCCACCCTGCTTGGTGCCATCAGCAATGCGACTCCAAAAACGGCGGATTACGCTTGTAAGTCACATCTTGTTGGGTTATTACTTCTCATCTAATTCTCCCAACTAAGTCTAAATCAAAGGTACTGAGGGGTATTGTCCTTGAGTAACTACGTTAAGTGGTTTAGTCGCGGTAGTTTAAAAGCTTACAGTAATATAATAGGCCATTTCCGGGTTGCCTCTGTGTCTAAACGAGTCACTCATGCGAAAGCATTCATCAGTGTAAAACTTCGCTTCATCTGCAGGTTCATTTCCATTCAAATCCAATTTATTTTCTTATGAAAAGTCTCGCGCTAGAATTCGCTTTGAAACGGAGACCCCATGTAACACGGAAGTGGTCCGTTGAAGAATCATATGGTTCAATCCAACGAGAAGAACCGATGGTCTAAATTGACTCTTCACATTTGCATTTAATACCAAGTGCCACATAAGGCCTCGGGGTTGCAGTAGCTAACCTTTAGTTCTGTTAGCTTGACGGAAACGAATGGTGGACTCATTTGTTAGAAGATGTTGGTTTCTAATAGTTAGAAATCAACGCTTTCGTTAACGGGAGAAATATTGCAAACAAAGGTTCTCGTAGATTTATTTATCATTTATAACATAACTTGTGTTGCAGTTACAACCATGCGTCCCAGCATTGGAATGGTGGAATACTCCGATCATTCTCAGGTTTCAAAATAGTAAAACAAATGAAAGTTCTCGTAGGGCGGTTTTCATTTGAGTGTCGAAAAGTAATTGGTTTTGCATCAACTACGCTACTCGATTGGCTTAAATATTCGCGCCACTTTTTCATCCAATCAGAAGCAAATCCAAAACCAGTTGTGATTCGTTCGCACACGCTTTCCCGCGCTTTGCGTCAGCTACATATAATTACTTTGAGTTTTGATTGGATCTCTGGATTGCCCATGTGTTTTGTGATTGGCCAAAGTGATTGTTTGGGGTTTGGTTTTACGACACTCAATTGAAAACCGCTCCATTGCAAAGAATACACTTGGATACCAAACATTTGGAGATCAGAGAGTTGTTTTGTTTGGTTCCAAGTTAATTGAAAATTAGTCATTTATATATAGCAAATGACTATGGCAGATAACTTTTCTGTTTCGTTTTGTTTTGTTGTTTTGACAGTTAAAACTTATTATAATGTATTTACGTGCTTTCGTTTTTTTCCTTTACGAAGTCCCTTCCAAAACTGTACATCGAGCCATCATTTTTTAAAGCGCAAAAAGGCATTTCAGTACTCGAAATCTACCTAGAAAGATTTTCATTTTGGACAAAATAAGCGTATTGCGTCTGTAGTCTAGGCTAACAATTAACGGTGTTGTTTATTTTCTAGGTGCGAGTAGCTGACCTTCCGGGTTTAATAGAAGGTGCATCGAGTAACAGAGGACTTGGTCACGCTTTTCTCAAACACACCGAAAAAGCTAAAGCCCTGGCCCTAGTTGTAAGTAGTCGTCTTTGTAAAAAAAAAAGCCTTCGACCACATTTGTCCGTGTTTGCACTGGTGTAGACTTAATACTGAAATGGCGTCATAAAATTATGGAAAGTCAAATGTATGGTTTCACTGATGGGTTTGGGGCTATGAACTTGAACTTAAACCATGAGAGTATATACTATGGGAAAATGTGATCGATTTTTTCTTTGTTTTCTTGTTGTTTCTGTTTTGTTTGTTTTTTGTTTACCGTAACAGGGAAAATTCACTGGAGAATTGGAGGCGGGATTAAAATTGAAATCGCGTACATTCAAGATTTCAGAATAATTGGATATATCCAAAAGTTCCACACTTGGCTCGAGGAGTCGCGAGCAAAATTGAAAATGGACCGCTTGATTTCCCGGCGGTCTAGTTTGTCCCTAGTGGCGAAAGACGTGATCAGTCTAACACAGATAAAGTTAGAAGCAGGTTTAATATGGTTTGTTTGCTGGAATGCTGCAGCTATTCAGGCTGCCGATTTTATGAGATGTTTAAGAAAGAAGCTGGAACAAGAAAAACAGGTCTAGTCAGTTCTCCAGCTTTTCTTGGTCGGCCTATCTCACCATTTAAACCTCCCATGCCCTAACGAGATCAGAACAAGTCATCAATTTATTATTTTTGTTGAGAGCTGAAAGAGAATTGTTGCAAAAGTTTTTACTACCGGTAGTCCAGTTGATCCTGGTTTTCCCGCTCGTCCAAAACTTCCTCGAACACCCTGCGGGAGAAGGAACATGCCAAAATGATTTTCAAATCCTGACAAAAGTAATTTTTTTTTCTTGACATTTCCGTAGATTACAGTAGATTATTGTTGCTAATCTGAGTAAGCGAGATTTTGACAGAAGTTTTAAAACGTTTCACACAAGTATATATATACATGGAACAAGGACAATTTCCGCTCATAGAACTGATGATATGTTGCAGCGAGAGTCCATTTGTTTTAATGGCTCACTTCTGCTTGTCTGACAATCCTTTGAAAATGTTGAATACAGCTAAGCTCAGATTAGAGCGGTTTTCACATTAATCGCTTTTGCTCTGACTTTGCATTACAGCACTTAGTTCAAAAAGCTCGGGCAATTTTCTCAAACGATGAGAATTAAGAGCCAGGACCAATCATGACTCGAGTTCGGCGTGAGACGCGATTTATTGACTTGATTGTTTCTGTACTTTGTGATTGGCCAGAGAGATTAGCTTTGGTTTTGGTTTTACGGGATTTCAATATTATAAACACAACAATCTATCGGTTGCTGATGCAAAGCGCGAAAAAACCAAGCAAACAAACGAACAAACATGTTAGCACAAGTCACATTTGATTGTGGGTCTATTTTTGATTGGATGACAAAGAGGCGCGATAATTTTAAGCCATTCGTTATGCTTAGCAAATGCGAATATTTTCGACTCACAAGTGAAGACCTCCGCATTAGAATAATTCAATTGTTTTTACTTGTAGGTGGACGTTGACGGCTTCCATTTCAACGACAAATTTCCTGCTAGGACAGCATTTGAAAACATCTGCATTTTACTCAAGGTATTTTATTCCATCAGCTTCCTCGACGGTTATCAGGCCTGCTTTAGATTTCCTCACGCTAGCTCTTACGGCATTTCAGTTGTGGTTGGTTCTCGCCGGATGCTTTGTATTCCAAAATAGTGATGTATGAGCACAGCTATGTCAGTCGTCTTCGCAACAAAGAAAGACGATAATTGAAAATTTTTGGAAAAGAAAGCGTGAAAACGGCTAACTTGCTGTTTAGGAGTTCGCCCTGTTTAGCTATGGTTAACATGGTCACTAAAGAGTTCTGCGTAGGGCCTATTTGCGGTTCCTAAGAGGTAACTTTGTCAGTAATTTTTCCTCCTCCTCAATTTGCACAGGAGCTGTTTGTGTACAAGAGAGAGTTACTAAATCGACCCAAGATGCTTATTGTCACAAAGCTTGACAGGAAAGGCGCCACTGGGAGATTTCAGGCTTTGAAGCACAAATTAAACTCTATCCACGAACATGGTAAGTCATATTTCTGACCCGTGTTATATTCGAATCTCTTTCATGTTGCCGCCACAATGAATAATTTTCGACGCGTTCGTACATTGCGAGGCGAGTGGCCTGGCATGTTGCCATAGGTTACTTTTCGATGTACACGTAACGTATCGGTGAATACTGGCTGCCCCTGAAATGTTCTAAATGGTAGCAAGAATCACATTTGGAATAATTTAAGGGGCTAGGTCACAATGTGATTAAGATAATTCTGTTTATGTTCGGTAATGGCTGTCTTTTTTGTCAAAATCTCAGCCTTATAGCAAGTGGCTATGAGCTTACCCAAATGCAATCCGTTTCAGTCATATCAAATTTTGCCCACCCATACCTCTTTTTGACTTTTCTGTTTTTGTTTTGAGTGCTCAGCTCTAAGCAGTTATATATTGTGGGAATGACCAGTTGGTAAGAGCTGGGGCACGTTTCTCGAAAGCCCCGGAATCTTTTCGGGCCCGAAAAGCCATTTTTAGTTAATCGCTTTTTAGAGACAGAGGCATATACGCCTGAAACTTCTTGTATGAAGAGAACCTCTGTTCGTATTAAGAATATATGAATAAAACAGCTCTGTAGTCAAAAGGTTTGAGATTTTGCTAC